CATGCCATCATATCTAGTGTATTGTTATCGATGCTTACAGTTAATTATCCTTGCAGGAAGGAAAATTTAGTTCTTAAATGTGCGTTAAGTGACAGCGAGTATAATAGGAGTGAAATATTGAGATAAACTGCTCAAGCATGTCCTATACATTGTCTTCCCAGAGTACCCACTAATGAGAGGAAGCGTAACCAGCAACTTTACATTCATCCTTTAGGAGTCAGATTCAGGACTCATTTTACCCCTGGCACACCAGCAGAGAGCCGCGGTCCAAGAGAAAGTTCTCTCTCACTAAAATTCCCCTCATTTTTTGTTTCCACCCACTCATACCCTCATTCTGTTTCGCCCTGGAATTTTCATCAGCTATACTTTAAATATATTTAATTTTCGTGATGATAAAAAAAAAATTTCACCTCCCCCATGATCAGAGCTTAAATTGGGCCGGTGCTTCTTATTTTTTGTAATAAATCATAATTCTAGCAGGAACGCACCGGAGCCCTGAATACGAAGGCTGCGGTACTTCTTTTATGTAAATGAATAACAATTTCAATAGAAATTTTATTTTAACAATAAACTTATATTAAAAATCGCTTATTAAATTTCAATTTATCTCTTTACATTTTAATTATTTAATTACTTCAATCTTTAATTATTTCAATAAATAATAGTTAATTCTCTAATAATTATCAATTAAATTATAATTAATGAATTATCTAATAATTATCAATTAAATTATAATGAATTAATTATATAATAATTATTGGTTAAATAACAATTTATAAACATTAATTAAATGACTATTAATTAATTTGGTAATAATTAACTATTTAATTTTAAATTATTAATGAGTTTAATAGTCATTTTATTTATTTATTTACTCTTGTCCCTCTTTGCTGATGGTCTTCCATAGGACTCCAGCACTTCTAATCTTAGAAATTAAGCCCTGCTTAAATACTCTTTTCAGAGAAACTTGCCACCTGCTGCAGTAACCAAGATATCACGGCCGTTTTCACATCCTAGACTAAACACTTCAAGAAATTTGTTTGAAAGAGTGCTTATGGTGAAGCATGTGTTCTTAAGAATTTTCGCTTCAACTGAAGCTTCCATATCATCTGTGATCACATATGGGCGACAAGAGCGGGACTCATCATGGACATTGTCATGGCCATGAACATTGTCGTTGCATTTCTTGAAGTGTCTGGACTAGACACTTTAAGAAATGTGTTTGAAAAATTGCTTATGGTGAAGCATCTGTTCTCAAGAATTTTCTCTTCAACTGAAGCCACCATATTGTCTGTGATAACAGATGGGCGGCCGGAGCGGGGCTCATCATGGACGTGGCCAGCTTTGAAATCTCTGACCCACTTAAGCCCCGTTCACAAGAGCAGATTCGACCCGTAGCGAAAACCGGTTCTTCCAACGCGTTCCATTCACATGGGACAAGCATTAACTGCCTCGCCGAATTGGAGGTAGAACTTGGTTGAATGTTCCTTACCTTTCGAGAGCAGGGCAAATGGGGAGATTTCCCGTACTATATTGCGTGGTTCACTTAATTTTAGTTACTGCTCACTGGACTGTCAGTGAAACAATCGCGCTGATAGATGTCTGGTGATGTGATAGCATCCCCCCAAAAATTAGATAGAACTGTACAAGATACGGAAATTATAGACAAATGCAGACAAGGTTATCTGATGCTAGGTATTCCAGAAATATCGTTCAAATTAAAACTAAAGTTAAGACAAGTGCATATCGGCTTCAGTGTGACAAGGGACTCGGTACCTTTTGAATGATTTTTTTTTTATTTAAGCATTTTCATCTATTTTATGAATATTATTAAATGGTTTTGTGAGACAAAATAATTTTAAGCTGAAAAAAAGTTTTTGCTAGTTTTTTTTTTTTATTTAAATTTTTGAAGAAAGATTTTACAATTAAAAATGTTTGTCTTCTCCTACAATTTTCAATGTAGCCCCCCAGTTTTTTTATTGTATTTATTAGAGTGTTCTTAATAACTTCAAGGAATGATTTTGCAATTAATGAATTAGTTTCTGAGAAAAAAATAAAAATACACTTTTATTTAAAATCTTTAAAACAAATATGATCTCAGTCACATTTTTATTTCAAATAATTTTTCTTTTCAGTATTTTGTAAAACCCATCCTTGTTTCTATAAAGTATATAATTTTAAATAAGCAGTAAAAATAAAATAATTTAGTCCATACCTGTATATGTTTTAAATAAATAATTTAGTTCATACCTGTATATAAAAAAAATAATAATTTAGTCCATACCTGTATATGTTTTAAATAAATAATTTAGTCCATACCTGTATATGTTTTAAATAAATAATTTAGTCCATACCTGTATATGTTTTAGGACTTTAAGTAAAAGGATTTATCGAAAAAAAATGCAAAAGGTTTCTCAGTTTGCATTTGCAGTTTAAAAAATACAAACTGTCTAAATAGACATTTAATTATTTCAAATCATTAAAATTTTATTACTGAATTTCAATACACACATATATATATAAATCAAACCTAGTGCTATTTATTCAATTGGTAAATATAAACATAAATTACAAACCTTTTTTTAAAACCTTATGTGGCCACAAAAATTGCAAAAACTCATAAAACGCAAGCAGATTTTTTTTTTTTTTTTTTTTTTTTTGTGTGTGTGTGTGTGTGTGTGAAAGACGTTCAAAACAATTTTAATACATTAATTAATTATAATATTGTTGTGTGTGTACGGGTTTGTAATAGATTGACAATAAAGCCACAATAACATACTGAACAAATACTAATTCAGAAGTCAAACAACAAAAATCAGCGTTAATTTCAATCAGCATCACAGCGTACTGTGAAAATTTGAAAATATAATGCTGATTTTTGTTGTTTGACTTCTGAATTAGATTGCTAATAGTTCGTAAATGATTGTCATTGCACTCAAATCTGATGATAGCTTAATTAAATTTATTTTATTAACAGAACCACTTCAAAGTTCTGGAATTTTCCACAGAAATACTCGTAAAAGTGTTTAGAATATCACTAAGTATAATCAGTAGTTATGCTTCAATCTAATAAGAATGTTGAACACAACGGAATGCAAACACATCTTAAGAGAAAGTTAACTCAGAAATATCTCCAATCTCACGCTGAATTAACAACTGACAACAATAACAATTATATAGCATAAATAACGTCATAAAAATAGTGTGGTATAATGAGATTATTACTTTGAAACTGATGTTTCGAATTGATGCCCAAAAAGAACCAATATTTCGCATTCTGCTTTATTGCATATCTTTCAAAAAAGTAAAAAAAATCATCCAATTAATTTTCTTTATCATTTTTTTAAACGCGAAAAGTTTGTTTTGTAAGCTGTGAAAATGTCAGAAGTTTGTAACCGATATATTTTTAGATATGAAATTTTAAAATTAATGGGCGTCAAAAAGTCTAAAAATATGAACAATTTAAAAAAATTCTCCCAAAATATTTTTTTTTAAATTACGCTATAAATTTCATTTAATTTTTTTTTTCCTCCACGGTGTGTTATGGTGCAAACTATAATATTCTGAGATTCTCAGTTTATTTGTTAATATTTGCAAAAAAATCGTTTAACTTTAAATTTGAAAAACATCTAATCCTCTAAAAATCAAAAATGTGACACCACATCCACAAGCAGTGTATGTACAAAGTTTGAGTTCTCTATCTTATCGGGAAGCAGTTTAAAAATCCACGACCATCTTTTAACCACAGCGACAAGCTCCAAGAGGGAACTAAATAATAGCTTATAAAATAATAATAATAATAATTAAAAAGCATATATTTTTCAGGAACCATTACAAAAGTTCAGGTACCAGTTGCGGAAGTACAGATTACAAAATTAATAACAGTAAACAACGTTAAAATGTGTAAACAGTATTAGAAATCTGCCGATTTGGAGACATGATTGTTCACAGAGGCTTAGGTGTAAAGGGAAGGAAGACGGTGATCTTCTGAATGGGTCCTAAAGACAAAACTCTTTCATATCTCCTTTTTCTCCTCTTGCTAACGGCAGCTGTGCGAAGGAGCATTGCATGTGAACAGGGCTTTATGCACTTTGCCTTCACTCACGGCAGTAGCTCTGTGAACTTCACAAATCTGCCAGTTAATGTCTGCAGTAGACAGGTTTCTTGCCGACAAAAAACGTATCACTGACCATACCTCACACGGGGAAAGCGATTCCATAATCTTGAACATAACAAGACACAGAACAGACCTTACAGTTTAACTACACAGCTGCGACTGAGCACAGTTGTTTCCAAGGAATGTCAGAACATGACGCAAGCGCTCATTGCTACCAGCATGACACATATTAGTACATATAATAAAACAGCCCTTACTTTAAAAACACACTACATAACATCAGCTGGCAGTTTATATGTAATAATGGCAATATAATGCATAAACAATGAAAGTATTATGGCATTTGAAAAAACATGCACATTCTATATTTTAATCAATATGTCATGTAATTTAATAGCTACAGTAATTAAAATAATAATCAATATTTTATTCCTTTTTTTTTTTTTTTTTTTTTATTCATAAAATGCCCATTTACATAAAATGTGCATTACTGTTCCCTGCAGGTAACTAGTATTTTTAATGTCAGTTGGTATGCCCAATATTAAAGTGTCAGTATTACAATGGGGAGTTCAATTTACCATAAGAATTTTTTCAAGTTAATGTTATTTAGAGTTGTATTTACTAGAATTTTGATTTAGATTTCACACACTCATTTTATCTTTACAAAACATTAAATTCAATTACTGATGCTTTTTTAAGCATGCATTAAGAAAGTAAAGTAAGTTTTTGTAATTGAATAAATTGAGTTTTGTATTTGAAATATCTCCCTTTTTGTTTGTTTCTTTTTTTTTTAATAATATTTATATTTAAATAAATATATATTTTAATTTATATTTTATATTTATATTTAAAATAAATATAATTTTGTAATTGTATTTTTCAGCTGATGGGAAAATGGTTGTGTATGTCAATGAACAAATGGTTAGGCATCACTATTTAATGAAATATTTACACACTGTACTTGTAACTGTGGCACTAAGTGGTACTATTTTAGCTTTAGGAGGAGAGAATGGCAAGCTGTTTCTATATCACATTCCAGATGATGACCACCTTGGCAGTCTTCAACTGTCTAACCCAGCATTCGCTTTACAGTTAAGTGATGCATCAATAATTGCCATTGACATTTTACATGATAATGATTCACCTGTGATAGTTGCTGCAACTAATGAAAGCATATATGTTATTAAGTGGTACAATATTCATAAATCTCACCAAGAAGTGAAAAGGAGAGATGTGTCACATTTGTTTAAAATGCACTAACATTTGCACTTGTAAAAATGTATATTTTGACTTATATGTAAATTTTGAATTGTTTAAATTATAAATTTTAAAAAAAACTGTATAATCTATGAGTATGTTATCTAGGAACAAGCCCATTCCATATGCACACCAAATACTTTTACACTTTTACAGTATACTATTTGACCAGTGGCGGCTTGTAATAAGCACTGTGGAACTGCAGCACCCCCTATTTCAAGTTATTATTATTAATATTTAATACAGTGTGCCTTTTAGTCTAATTCTTTCTTTATACGTTTAGAATACATAATCCTTAAAGGGTATCAGAAACCCCTATACCGACAATGTTAAATTGACCATTTTCGATGTACCTTTTCTCAAAATCTGCTGTAGATACAAGCTTGAAATTTTTTCTGTAATTAAAGTATACCTATCTGATTATACTGAAATGAGCTTTTGAAGCATTTTGAATTTTAGAGTAAATTACAGAATATTTTGTTAGAAAAGTGCTAAATTTTTTATGCCTAACACAAAAAAAATTTTAAATTTTTTCTTTCTAAGTTTATTACAAAAAGCTCATTTCAGTAAATATTAGGGAACCTAATAAATAAGCCATAAAAAGCTTAGATACCTGTGAGCAGTAGTTCCTGAGAAAAGGTACATCGAGTATAAAAAAATCACGTTTGGAGAAAAACGCGTTTTTATGTAAAAATCCTCATTAATTAAAACTAGGTTTTTTTTTTTTTTTTTTTTTTTTTTTTTTTTTTAAATGCAAAATTCCAAAATTACAATTTTTTGAAGATTTTGGGCTTCCAACACCCCTTAAGCTTAATGTCAGTAGCCATCCCCCACTTTGTGAGAAATATACGAAAGTCTTTGGAACTGTGCACTTCACAGTTCCAGCGATGTAGTGTTTGGCTGTTCTGCGCATGCGTACACAGAAAGCAGCACGCAAATCAGGCAGAGAGAATAGCACTGTCGCTCTTGCAGTGCCAAAATTCTGGCATGTTGTTGGAAACGTGATTTCTTTTTACTCCACGCGTGTGGTATTTCTCCACAAGGAGGAACTTCATCATAAGGATGATAAGCAGAGTTCATGAAAATTTGCAACCTTTAAAAAATTGCCTTACTAAAATTCACTCAACATCAAATGCAGATCAAACTATTGCAGAAGCAACAGGAATTTTAAAATATATAAATGATGATAACATCAAGTTTAGGTTAGAGCTTTATCAGATTATGCCTCATGCTGAAATAATATACAAGCAAATGCAACCCAGAGAAATTAGTGTGTTTAAAGTTAACGAATGTATAACAAATTTCAAAACTGCTATTTTAGAATTAAGAATTTCAAAGTACTGTGAGAATTTCTGAAAGACACTGATGGCAGAAGCTAACGAAATACAAGACTTTATAACTATGTATTGATATAATGCACAGATATTCTTCCACTAAACACTTAGCAGCTGCTGAAAGTTGTTCAAGACAAGAAATGTTTCGCTAGTTTTAGGAATGAGACATCCTACAGAAGAAATAGTACTGATCGCATTGAAGCATATCCATTGATTGACTTGACAAAGAAAAACTGTTAAACTAAACTAAAAGTATTCTGTTGTAGGTCTGATATCCATGAATACTGCAAATTAATTGAGCTACTGAAATTCATCTTTGAAAATAATCTAGATGATGTTCTTAGTGAAATTACGAAACTGATAAAAATTCTCTTGAAAGTTCCCATGACTAACTACATCAGAGGCAGAAAGCTGCTTTTCAACATTGAAAAGAATGAAAACTTTTCTAAGAAATGAATAGCCAAACACTGAACTGTTACAATTTTGGTTAAATTAAGAAATGTTTAATTTTTTTCTTGTAAAATTTCATGAAGTTTCAAAATAAATTTTGTTTTTATAAATGTTTCCTTTTAGACAATTTTAAAACAAAGGTTAAAATTTTTTGGAACAGCACCCCCACTAATTTTAGCCACAAGCCGCCACTGTATTTGACTTTACCAAAATTAAAAATATAATGAAAAAAAATATATTGCAGTATATAATATAAAAATTTGATAAATGTTCAATATGTATTAAAGTAGCATATTCTAAAATATAAGGTGTTACTGAGTTCCACTCTGTAGATAGCATATAATGCAAGCAAAGATGAAGTGGCAGTCGGACACAACACAGTTCTACTTATCATGCCTTGCCCCATGATTTTAAACAATCTCCTAGAAAAAATTTTAATCTGAAAGCACAGCTGGCAACTTTCTGCCAAAGCAGTTAAAACCATTGTGACGGGAACTACTTTTTGCCATGAAAGTGGCAATAATTGGCAGAAATTCATAAAATAATTAAAAACTTACTGTAGTACCATCAGTAGTAAAAGGAAATGTATTTTAAAATTAAACAAGTTCAATTATAACATTTACAACATTTAGTCAAAGCTCATGTAGCAGCAAATTCACTTTCAAGTTCTGCCATACCTTTTCCACAAAGTTTCATTGCTGTTTCATAACCCAGAGAATTTAATTTATTGTGAATAAATAAAAAGTTGGAGCTTCTGTGAAATCCAATAGTACTAACAGGTAGTATCGTCAGTGTGCAAATAAAGGTTATCAATTTGTTTTTTTAATTCTAAATCACAATGTAAAAACTGAAACATTTTGAGACTTCGTTGGAGAAGTATAGGAAATTGGGAAAAATAGTAGAAATATAAGCATTGAAGAAATACAGCTGAAATTTTATGAAAAGTATGCAATGAGATACAAAGTGTGCATTAATGTCATGAGGTAATTCTTAGAATTTTCCTTCTATCCATTTGATTATGTAAATTTTGTGTATTTTGATGAAGCGTATAATACATAATGTCGAGTTATGGCCTGAATTGGAACTATCGAATTTTAAGGCAGAAGTTTTCCGCCATCGCAAATATCATCTGCGTAAACAGTTTTTGTTAGCATCTTTAATCATATTTTGACAAACGATTTTTAGCATTTCTGAAGCTTAAGAACACTGTGCTGTGAAATTTGTAAAAAAAAAAGTCATTATCATTAAGGTGTCTGAAATGGAACTGTCATGCTACCAGTGTAATAACTTACTTAATTTTCCATTATCAGTTCTTCTTATGTTCTACTGGCCCAAACATAGACACTTTCCTGTAACTAAATCTATTTAATGAAGAGAAGACTATGCACAAATATTATATACAGTTTACATGATATCTAGTTTATGCCATTCTCAACCACTCTCTTCACACTCTCAACTCTCTCTGATAGTGCCCGTATGTGTAGCTAATTAAACTTACCTGCAGTACACAAACTTACTTAAAACTTACTTACATAACAATGTTAACATTAATTAATAATGGATTAATACTAAATAGTACAACATATATAAATGAATAGTATAAAAGAATAATCTATACTAGTAAATATCAAAACCACAAATGAACATAATAATTAATAATATAATAATAAAAAATCAAATTATATCAAAAGTTCTAAATTAAATTTCGAAAGGATTTAACATCTGGATCAATCTTCTAAATTATCCTTTGGGCGTGCGAACGAGGCACGCTCGAGCATGTCCATCTCGTCCTATAATAACGTTTTAAATTGCACCCATGTCCCAAAGTAGTTTGGATTGTTTTGGTCCTTCTACCAACACAACGTCTCCAGTCTTAAGGTTCCACTCAGTTGTAGGATTAGCAAAGTTATGTGTATTTCTGAGAGGGAGTAAATATTGCTCTTTCCACTTGATCCATGTTAATTTTAAGAGCTTAGATTGGTAAAACTTCTTCCTAGTTAAAGTCTCTTTATCTGACACCTTGCTAAAAATTTCCCAAAAATGCTCAGGAAAGTTAAATGTATCACGTCGTGGCAGTAAAAACTGTGAAGGTGTGAGCGGGCAAGGTTCACCCAGCTCATTGCTCTCATACGTTAAAGGTCTGTTATTTAGCACACACTCAAGTCCAGCTAATATTGTAGAGAGCTCTTCGAAAGTCAGTAATGCTCTTCCTAATATTTCCTTCAGAGGTTTCTTGATGCTTCTCATCAAATGCTCCCCACCATGGGGAACGCTCAGGTATGAATTTCCATGTTATCTCTTTGGATGTCAAGAAATCACTTACACTTGGCTGTGCACTTATTCTTTTAAATTCCTTAAGTATTTCACATGTGCTGTGAAATTCTTGGCATTATCTAAATAAATCATTTTGCAGCTCCCTCTTCTTGCTAAAAAATGTAGTAATGAAAAGATGAAACTTTTTACTGAGATATCTGAAACCACTTCAATGTGTGCAGCACGAGTGACAGCGCATTTAAATAAGGCTATGTACACCTTTTTGTTGATATCCGCTTTTTCTCTAATAGTAACTGCTTCCGTTAAGTCAATGCCTACAACTGTGAAAGGATTACTTTGGACTACACAATCTCTTGGTAACTGTTTGACGGTCTTCACTGCGAACTTTTTACACACTAGGCAAGCGTAAATAACTTTCTTTACTACTTGTCTTCCTTTAGGTATCCAAAATTTATTCCTGACTTTATACAATGTTGCCATGACTTCTGAATGGAATACTTTTATGTGTTCACTAAATATCACTAGTTCTTTGAACTTTGTTTTCGGCAGAATAATGGGATGTTTTTCGTCATCTATTAATTCTGCATGTTCCAAACGACCTCTGACACGCCTCTACTGTCCACAAAGTACCTCTACTGTCCAGATATGGTGCTGAACTGTAAAGTTCGAATCTGGCGTTATTAGATTATTCCTCTCTAGTTGTTGAATATCCAAAAAAATAATTCTCTCTCTGTTTTATCCAGTCTCAGCTTTTTGGATCTCCAATACAGTAAAAGGACCTTCTGCACAGGTACGTGTTCTTAGCTTGGCGACAAACCACTTTACCCAAGCTGTAAACTCTCAACAATTTTTCCAGACTGCTGAATTTGATAATGTTTTAAACATTTTTTAAACGCAGTTTCTCCTTCTAGAACAGTCACCTGAACATAAGTGCTTAAACGTTCCAAATTTTGAGTATCAGTTTCTACTTTAAACTTCTGCTCAGGCCATTGATTTTCAGAATTTTTCAATCATGATGGACCTTG